GTTTTTCAGTTGCATGTCTGAAAGCAAGCAATATTCACACCATTTGGGACTTTTGCCATTGGGGAAAAAGGAAAAGTGTAACTACTGGTAGGTACAGATGAATGATAATTGTCTGTCCTGACCACGGGTGGGACACCAAGTGAGTAGCAGATATGGTTTCCACGATTTAGGCTGAGGTACTTGTTTGGACTTGTCAGTTTGATCTTGTTTAGGCCCATGTGCTTTTTAATACTTAGTAAAGTTAGGATTTTTGGTGCTTGAAGAGAGAAAACTATTAAGGTTTTGCATCCAAGGTAGTTATAATTTGGATTAGATTGGAGACCAATTCCCTTGATTAATTTCACATTGTTTTAGCTCATTTATAAATAAGCTCACCACGAAAGTGGAAAGTTGTAGCCTTGAGCTCCACTCCAGGAATTGAGCAGGTAATTTTTACCTGACTTTGCAGCGAGGATATCCTGTTTTCAGAAGTGTTGTCCTTAAACCAAGACAATAAATTGATGTCTCATCTACTTGTTTCAGCGGTTGAGATAGGCATTCATGATCCTACAACATTATTGAAAGAGCACTAAGGAGGTCTGTTGGTTTATTAGCCAGCATTTCTCTCTAAATCAACCTGGGTATGAAAAGATTAACTAACTGCTGTAGCTATCCTTAATTTACAAGCAGTTTTTCTGTGTAAAATGGCTGATAAATTTGCCAGTGATATTGTATTTGATGGTGATTCAAAGCACTTATAAGAGATACAGTAAAATGCTGTCTCTGTCAGTGTACCATTTACATGAGTGGTCATGATTAGAGTTGTCATCCGTGAGTCTTGTTGGAGGGTACATGTAATGGCAGAGTTAGAGTGAGTAATGGCTCTGTGAGTGTGAGGTGGCAGAGAGAAGATGGTGGCACTTATCTCGGAAGACTTGACCTTTTCCCGTTGGCCACCTGTAGTGGCCCATAGGAGAAAGAACTGCGCTTCTCTCTTCCATCCTATCCATCAAGACCTCCTGAGCCCTTTATCTTGAGCCATGTCCTTGGCGATAACAGTCAAGGCCACAGTGTAAGAGACAGTTCCTAGCTTGCAGTGTCTAAATGGTGTACAGCTGGCTTTTAATATGGCACTGCAAATTCACCAAAGATTCTTAGATAGCAGCTTCCAAACCCACAACCACTTACCTCTGGAAGGACAAGGGCAGCAAATATGTGATATCAACACCACCTGTAAATTTCCCTTCAAGCCACTCACCATCCTGACATGGAAATATATTGCTGTTCCTTCACTGTCGCTGGGTTGAAATCCTGAAATTCCCTCCCTAAGGGCATTGTGAGGCACAAAGACTGCAGCAGTTCAAAAAGGCAGCTCACCACCACTTGTTAGGGGTAGACAATAAATACTAGCGCAGCCAGTGCAACCCATATGTCATGAATGAATAAAAGAAACTGAGTGTTTTATGATGCAAAAAAAGCCTTGATTAATTGGTTTGATTGTCTGGACAGAATTATCATATGCATTTAGCAAGGATTTTGGATTTTGAGAATTGGCAGTGTGTTCATTTTATGGTCACTGTGATTTGTTACCAGAATGTAGTAGTTTGCCGATTATAGGTCATGTATTAAACCTGCTGATTGGGAAGATGCAGTTCTGGTCCCATGGTAAACATATGATTAATATACTAAAAATTGCCACTTAACACCATCTGTGCAGTAGCTTTTCCGGGCATAGTTAATTCTCTCTTCTTTTAATAAATTTACTAGCTATTCTCTGTAACTTTCATTTGGAAGGGAAATGCTTCTGTCTGTATCATCTACCAAGGGTGAAATTGTAGAGTATGTAAATATTTAGGTTCCTGTTGTGATTTCCTTGCAATTTTCCCAACTCAGAACATATCTATCTCTGTCTTAAATACACTGAATGACTTGGCCTCCACAACCTTCTGCAGTAATGAGCTCCATGGATTAACAATCCTCTGGCTGAAGAAATTTCTTCTCATCTCAGTTCTCAAGGTTTTGAATGGTTGAGCAGATTCAACAGGCTGAATCTGCTCCTATATCTTATGGTCTTAGGATATTATGATATTACATTGTACCACTTTGTTGTTGATGTGGCTGACAATACAAATTCAGGAACATGGCTGAGAAAATAGGTGCAAACAACGAGCAAAAGCAGTATTTTTCAAACTATTTTTCTTCTGTTTTTGTCAATTTAAAGGATTTGTAAAAGACCTATGCAATGAGATGGAGCAGGAAGTGTGAAAAGCACCATGCATGCTGCTGAACAAAAGAAACTATTCATTTCTTTGGAGCATTTTAAGCTAACATTTGAAGCACTTGAACTGTTCACATTTAGTCCCCTTGGGTGACAGTTCAGATGTTGAAATCAGTGCCATCATTGCATGTCGCCCTGGTGATTCCCTTAAATAGGAGCATAAAGTTCAGAGCAAGAAATTGGCACTCTGCCATCAAACTTCCTTCATGGGATTTTAATGTATAATTAATATACTAAAAGTTGCCACTTAACACCATCTCTGATGTCCAAGTTTATAGTTAATTCTCTCTTTTTAAATACTCTCATTTGGAAGGGAAATGCTTCTGTCTTGTATCACTTCCCAAGGGTAAAATTGTAGAGTATGTAGATATTTTTAGGTTCTGTTGTGATTTCCTTGCAATTTGCCCAACTCAGCTTTAACAATTCTAGAGAGGTTACTTATGGTGGGGAACAGTTAATAAAAACCAAAAGAATGGCGGATGCTGTAAATCAGGAACAAAAACAGAAGTTGCTGGAAAAATTCAGCAGGTCTGGCAGCATCTGTGAAGAAAACATCAGAGTTAATGTTTCGGGTCCGGTGACCCTTCCTCAGAACTGGTGGGGAACAGTTAATATTTGTTTAAGGTAACGGTGTTATTGGCCAACTGTCCAGAGCAGCAAGATCCCTTGAATGCCATTAAGCACAGGAGAATGAAACTTGTGTGTCAAAAGTAATAATAATTCCTGAACATGACTTTTGAAGTCTTGCCTTCCAATGATTAGTTTGTTCCCACAGTTGACATCAGTTGATCAGTTCATTCCCAAACTGAAACAAAGCAAAGTGAGAACAAGACTAAATGCATGATTATTACAAGATAGGCTATCTTAAATCATTTTTAATCTTAAAAATAAAAGCCAAGTAAAGCAGGATGTATACTTTATATTGAAAGTAATTTTGATGACTTTCAAACAGTTGGCTTGAATTTTGAGGGTAAAAATTGCAGTGAAGCGATTAGCACTCACTTTATTAATGAGCAAATTGGGACACATAAATGCAGACATCAGGAAATTGCTGTTTAACATGCTTTGCTTCCCCAGAAACACACATACCTGAATGTTATCACACCAAATGCATTTCAAATCACTGCTAGTTCTAGTATGAAAGCCCATGGGCAAAAAAAATGAATGCATGGAATGATTGGCTGGCTGGCACTGTACATTTGCCAATTCAGGCCATTATGTATTTTGGAAAGAGAGATGGAAAATGGAGAGAGATGCAGACTGCTGCTTGGTGCATTGTTGTGGTCATACTGGTGCTGTATTTTTTTTGAAAGTTCAGGCAGCTCTTTCCCAGGTTAAAACTCACTGGTTTACATTATTGGATTTTCTGCAAATGGATGAATAATCTGGCCACTGTATAAATAATGGACCCAAATCTAGTACATTTGCATAGTTTTTGGACCTCCAATTCTCTGGTTGAGTTCTCCAGTTCAAAATCTTTATTATGTTTGACTATTGTTATGTTTGGTTTCTACTCTTCTGTATTTCTGCTGAAGTTATTAGTTTGTTTCTTTTCATCCCAAAGCTATATACCCTTTGCATTGATTCTATCTCTTTCCCTGGCTGGCTTCTGTGGTTGAATCGGACTCTTTGCAGGCTTGACCTCTTATCAAACTGAGCTTCTGTCCTTGTATTTTCCATCACAGACTGGCTGCCTCCACTACTGTAACTTTGCCACCTGTTTGATCCAAACATCTGTCAGAATCTTCCTCTCGAATAGACAATGAAAATGTTCTCATGGACCGACTGCCATCCTCCATGATCCATTTATCTCCCTGGTTTATTAACACCGTCTGCTGTCTCAGCTTACCCAATATTTAAGTGATGGCACTCAAGACACTCAGTGGCATATGACTAAAGGATGGAGAGAAAAATTAGCATTGATGTAGCAATCAATCATTATTTATATTTTAGAAAAGAATTTTAGTTTTATCTCAAGCTGGGAGATACAGTGCAGGATTTCTGGTCAGCATGGATGAGTTAGACCGAAGGGTCTGTTCCATGCTGTGCATCCCTATGTAGCAGTTCATTTAATCAAGTCATCCTCCATTGGGTCTGAAAAACCTGCTGTAGTGGTCAGACCAGGCATTGGTCTTACCGAACACAAGCAAAATTACTTCAATTTCAATAAATTAATTGTAAATGTCTATTTTTCCTTCAGCCAGTAAAGAACTTTGAGATATCTTCTTCTGTTAAAGGTGCTATGTCAGTTTTAATTTCCCTGTAGACAGTTAAACTCTCAAGTTTCTTTGCCAGTGCTGAGTTTCTCAGTGCGTGTGAATCTTAGGACCCAATAATGACATTTAAAATAAACAGTTGAAAGATTTGTTCTGAGTGCAGTGTTTGTTCAAATGTCTGATGGAATAGCAAATAGGTCTTTAAGTGTCTAACCCATTAAATAATTGTCTGCTGCTTGGTTAATCGTGGCCTATTGATACATGAGTAACATTATGTCACAGCTTTTCTTTCTCGTGGCAGCTGCATTTACAGAATTCATACTAAAATTTTGAACAAAAGTTGATGCTAATCCTATAGATCAGTTCTCAGTTGCAGAAGCAATGTAAATGTATGTCATTAGGAACCCGCTGTTCATAACAAGTCTTGTTATCATTTTTTCAGTAACTGATCATTTTAATGGAGTCTATTTTCTTCCTTTAACTGTGCAACAAGGATGATTTTATTATTATTTTTCCCTCTATGCTAGAATGTTCAACACAGGAAATATGCAAAATGGAAGGCAGCGTATATCCACAACTGCTTGAAAAATGGTGAAACTCCCCAGTCTGGACCCGTAGGGATGGAAGACGAATTACTTGGTAAGCACTAACCTCTGGTGCTTCAATACAAATGGGAGCTAATAGCAACCAGCCAGGCTGTAAATGTGCGTTTGCAGAAATAGGAATTGCCCCTTCTGTTCCCAAAATTGATGTAAAACAAAAACAAAGTGAATTGGGCCAGTATTGAAGTCTGGCGCACAAACGCCTGCGAGATGTAGCTGCTTAACTTTCAAAATGTTCTGGATTGTGTATATGGAGAGGTTATTGCTTTGGAGTAAAGTGACAGTTCCGTTACACTCACTGTGAACTTTTAAGGTTGAGTGGTATCTCGAGTGAGGATGCTCTGTAGGAGTGACTACATTACTTAAAGCAAAAGGGTGATTCTTAGTAGTTTACTTGCTGATCACAGCAAGCGTCATTCTCTTGTGTGGCTTCACGCTTCTGAAATTATTAAGAATGATAAGACAGGAAATAGCTAAATTAGGCAGGCAGTGTAAACGACAAATTGATGAGCTTTCTGGAATATTTTCCACAATTCTTATGAGCATTTAGATGGGTGACTTGCAAGTTGCTGTAATATTGGCCTTTCTTTCTTTTTTTTTGAAATAGCATACTTTCCCCTTCGAGAAAACAAGTCTGTGGGGCCTCCATTTTTGACCAGAATTGGGCCCCAGCCCGAACTTGAGAGTTCATAGTGTCTGTAATTGAAAACTGCAAAACTGAACAGGCTGGTGGGGTCAGGCATCTTCGAAGAAGGGAAAAAAACGAGTTAATGTTTCAAGTTGATGACTTTTTGTCAAAACTGCTCCAACAATGTGAAATATGCACTCCATTTTTCTGTACACAGATGTTTGCTGAGTTTATAGTAATTACTGGTTTGATTTTTAGATTTCCAGCATCCGCAGTACTCAGCTTTTGTTTTGATGTCTATAATTCTGTTTGTTCAGAGCTTATGCTTCATTTCATGGTACTTCGTTAGTGTACTGAACATCTGCATAAATATCTGCATGTACAGTATTTTGCCAGCTTCTGATGGAAGGAGAAAGTTTCCATTTTTCAAAGAGGGCGTAGGTGCTTGGAGAGGTGAACTGCCATCATTCTTGTGCTGATGCTCAAATTCTTTAAACGTGTGAAAATATTATTGGAACACCTTTAGAAAACCCCTTCATTGAGCTGCGTTGGAAACAGTTGAAACAGAATCCCCAGCATTATCGACTTTCCTAGGTTAATGTGCCAAGTAACTTGAGGCATTGAAATAAAGACTTGCATTTATATACTGCCTTTCATGACCTGAGGAAGTGTTGCAGCACATTTACAGCTACACTTGAAGTGTAGTTTGCTGTGGTAAGCAAGCAATCACAAATATCACTGTAACAATGACTAAATAACCAGTGGTTCGAAGGATAATTGTTGGCTTGGACACCAGGGAGAATTCATCTAAAACCCTTCAAAAAAGTGCCTTAGGATCTTTCACGGTCACTTTGGGGAACGCTGCTCAGTGCAGAGCAGGGAATTTCAGTTTGGATTATGGGCTGAAGGTACTGACAATTTGAGATGACTAGGGACGGCACGGTGGCTCATTGGTTAACATGGTGCCTCACAGCGCCAGCGACCCGCGTTGATTCCACCCTTGGGGACTGTCTGTGTGGAGTTTGCAAGTTCTCCCCGTGTCTGTGTGGGTTTCCTCCGGGTGCTCCCGTTTCCTCCCACAGTCCAAAGATTTGCAGGTTAGGTGGATTGGCCGTGCTAAATTGCCTGTAGTGTTCAGGGATGTGTAGATTAGGTGGGTTATGGGGTGATGGGTTTGGCTGGGATGCACCAAGGGTCAGTGTGGACTTGTTGGGCCAAGGGGCCTGTTTCCACACTGTAGGGATTCTATGATTGATTGATGATTAACACAGGTGAGAGTGCTAACCACTGAGTTAAAAGATGCATTTCTTTCAATATGCAAATTATTACTCTTAGTTTTAAAAATATTTCTTACTTAATCAAATGCTTCCAATTTAAAAACAAAACACCAACATTACTTACAATATTTAAATTATCCATTATTACCATATTTAGACGGATCGTAACTTTAAATCTTGATTGTGATATTCTGCAGCCTAGTGAGTCCTTTAACCTCTGGAACTTGGTTCTTTCTGCTCCCACTCCTGCCAAAATCTGAAGGTGAAATTAATTCCTGTTGGTCATGATCAACATTGCATGGACCTGCACTCACCAATTTATTAGCACTTGGCCCCAAACCTGGTATTTCATTGACAAGCAGGTTACAAAGCTTAGACAAGAAAGGGTAATTAATACCACAATAGCAAGAAGAGCAGGAAATTCTTCTCGGCACCCTAACTAATGTTTAACCTTTAATCAATATTGTGAAAACAGATCATCTCGTCATTATCACATTGTTTAAAAAAAACAAAAGAACTGCGGATGCTGTAAATCAGGGACCAAAAGCAAAGGTCACCAGACCCGAAACGTTAACTTTATTTTTTTCTTCACAGATGCTGCCAGACCTGCTGAGCTTTTCCAGCAACTTCTGTTTTTGTCCCATTATTACGTTGTTGTTTGTGAGAGCTTGCAGTGTTCTAAAATGGCTGCCAATTCATATAGTTCAATGGTGACCACTTTACAAAATACTCCTTTGGTTGTAAAATGCTTAGGGATTTTGAGATTATGAAATGCTGTATTAATGAATATCTGTCTTATTTTTTCCTTGGCAACTATTGTGGGAATGACTCGCATTGTTGAAACGGTTGACTGCAGTGGTGGAAGTTGACTGGCAATATCTAGTGATATCCACTAAAGCTGATAAAAGTATTCATTAAAGCCTTCACTGATGCTTTGTCATTTCAGTTATTGACTTTGGCATATTGTTTACATTGTGTAAGCTTAAGAAATAAGTTAGCTGCAACATTTGTGTAGTGCAGAGCAAAATATCAAATGCAAATAAGCCAGCTTTGGAAGATGTTTGAAAGATAGATAGTTGCTGATTCTTTTTCACTTTCATGGCCATTACAAGACCTCCATTGTTTGAAAACATAGCCTGCAAGTCTTGTTCTTTTTCCATTAGCAAATGGAGAAAACTAATGAGTAAATAGAATGGAATGGAAGAAAGGTCCATGTTGAAACAGAGTATAAGCAGTGCTATATAGTCTCACTTATTAGCATATATTCCAAGTGTTTTGTTTACATGTTTGGAACATTTTTTGGGAGCACCTCCTACTGAAACCTGACAAATTTTAAGCAACACTTTTGCAAGAATTCTGCAGTTAGGCATCACAGAAACTTCAAGCATATTTGGTGGAGTAATCCTAGCTATAGCAGGCAGTCACAGATGGACCATATAATTGTACACCACTGAAGGAAGCCATATGACCCACCATTGCTGTGCCAGCTCTTTTAAAGAGCTATTCAGTTAGACTCACTCACTTCATCTTTCACAATTTTCATAGATCATAGAATCCCTACAGTGTGGAAACAGGCCATTCAGCCCAACAAGTCCACACTGCCCCTCTGAAGAGCATCCCACCCAGACCCATTCCCCTAATTTCCCATGTCTAACCCACCTAACCTAAACATCCCTGGACACTATGGGCAATTTAGCATGGCTAATCCATCTACCCTGCACATCTTTGGACTGTGGGAGGAAACCGGAGCACCCGGAGGAAACCCACACAGACACAGGGAGAACGTGCAAACTCCACACAGACAGTCGCCCGAGGCTGGAATCGAACCCGGGCCCCTGACGCTGTGAGGCAGCAGTGCTAACCAGAAAGTTTCAGTTCCATGTCCAATTAGAGGCTGGGGAAGAGACAGCCTAGTGGTATTATCACTGGGCTGTTAATCCAGAGACCCGGGTAATGTCATGGGGATCCAAGATCAAACCCTATCTTGGCAGAAGATGGAATTTGCATGCAATACAAATCTGATATTTAAAGTCTAATGATGACCATGAATCCATTGGGAAAAACTCATCTGATTCACTAATGTCCTTTCGGGAAGAAAACTGCCATCCTTACCTGGTCTGGCCCTACAGGTGACTCCAGGGTCTCCGCAATAAGGTTCACACTTAACTACCCTCTGGACAATTAGGGATGGGCGATAAATACTGGCAAGACAGCGATGTCCTCATCCCATGAATGATTTTGTTTTAAAACTTCCCTTTTAAAAGTTACCTTTTAAAATTTTGCCACCATTCCTTCAAACAACATTCCCATTATCACAGGTGCCATTCTTGTATTGGGTTTTATGGTATGTTGTGACTACAGCGTAAGCAGTATGCTTTGATTTAAATTCCATCTAATTTCTACAGCAATTTAACTGCATGTGTGTTTAAATCTATGTGACAAAAAAACCAAAAGAAGCAAACAAATCCTTCTGAAGAAGGGTCACTGAGCCTGAAACAGTAAATCTGCTTCCTCTCCACAGATGCTGCCAGGCCTGTTGATATTTTCCAGCAATTTTTGTTTTTGTGCCTAAATGTTATATCTATCAGTTTACTTGGAGGGCCAACGTTATTGCAAATATTGTCATGAGTTGCTTTTGGCCAATGTTCGTCGAGCAGCATCAGCAGCTTGAGGTGTATGCAAACTGTTGATTTGAACTTCATGTTTGGATTTAGAAATCTTTTTCTTCATGTTCTGATGGCAATCTGTACTGTTTTACCCATATTTGAAGGTCACATCTTAGCTTATTTTGGATTGTGGACCAAAATGGGAGAAGGATTGTAGGAAAGGTTTAGAGGGATATGGGCCAAACACGGACAAATGTGACCAGTTCAGCTTAGGATACCTGGTCAGCATGGATAAGTTGGATCGAAAGGCATTTGGATGGGTACATGAATAGGAAGGGTTTAGACGGATATGGGCCGAATGCTGAAGGATGGGACTAGATTAATTTAGGATATATGGTCAGATTGGACGAGTTGGATTGAAGCATCTGTTTCCATGCTGTACAGCTCCATGACAAAGTCAGAAATCATACAAGCTTTCAGGGCGCAGCCCTTCAACAAAGGGGCTATGCTCTGAAAGCTTGTGATTTTAAATAAACCTGTTGGACTATAACCTGGGTGTCATGTGACTTCTAACTTTGTCCACCCCAGTCCAACACCGGCACCTCTACATCATGTATAACTCTGACTCTGTGACTAGCAATCAGAATATTGTCCCAAGGGTTTGTGACAATACAAAAGGAAAGGAAAGAAAAGAGTAAATTCCATAGCTAAACAATCCAAGATTGTCAGTATCCACTAAATGAATTGCACCAGAAATATTAGCTTTTTGCTTTTCCCTTCTATGTATCTCCAATGTTTATATGGTTTTTACTTTTAATTGCTCGTGTGATTTTTTTTTGCATCAGTGGAGAATTGACTCACGATAGTGGACAGTGAAGAAGGTTATCTAAGATAACGAAGATTACAAAGAGATCTTGATCAATTGGGTCAGTGGGCTGAGGAGTGGCAGATCGAGTTTAATTAGGATGAATGTGTGGTATTGCATTTTGGTAAAACTGCAAGGGCTGGAGTTATACGATTAAAAGAGGACCTTGAGCAGTATTGTAGAACAGAGAGACCTAGGGGTTCAGGTACATAATTCTTTGAAGTTTGCGTCACATTTAGACAGGGTGATTCAGAAGGCATTTAGCACACTTGCCTTCATTACTCAGACCTTTGCGTATAGGAGTTGGGACATCATGTTGAGGTTGTACAGGATGTTGGTGAGGCCTGTTTTGGAGTACACTCTGCAGCTCGAGTTGCCCTGTTGTAGGAAAGATATAGTTAAGCTGGAGAGGTTTGGAGGGGTTGCATTATAAGGAGAGGCTGGATAGTCGGGGATATTTTTTCCCTGGGGTGAAGGAGGGATGACTTTATAGAGGTTTATAAAATCATGAGGGCCATAGAAAAGGTGAATAGCAGGTGTTTTTTTTCCCTGTGATGAAAGATTTCAAGACAACTGGCATGTTTTTAACGTGAGAGAAGAAAGATTTTAAAAAGACATGAAGGCAGAAAGTGGTTTGTGTGTGCAATGAACTGCCAGAGGATGTGGTGGATGCAGGTACAGTTATAACATTTAGAAGATATTTGGTTATGTAGATGAATAAGAAATGTTTGGAGTGATATGGGTCAGGTGCAGGCAGGTAGGACTAGTTTAGATTGGATTATGGTCAGCACGGACTGTTTGGTCCAAAAGGTCTGTTTCCATGCTGTATGACCCTAAGGTGCAACACAAATATGGTAAATGAAGTTGTGATAGAGATCAGCTGCATTATAATTGAATGCAATCAGAACCAACTGAATGTTGCTATGTATGGATGAACAATGGCTAATTTGCTCTTTTTCCAACCCAAGAGTCTCAGACCAGTTAGATATACTGCATTTCTTTGATGATTAGAAAGCTGTTTTAAATTGCAATATTGAGTAACCAAATATAATATCTATTTACAGAAAACGAGAGTAAACATGATGATTCACAGTCACCAATCTTGAATAAACCCACTGAATCCATGCCAGCTGCAGACCTCTCCAACATACAGGTGCATCCTTGTGATCACCCTCCATCAAATTTCTCAACCATTCAGATCCCTCCTGGCGCACATGCTCCAGCCAACACTCCAGCAGAAGTGCCAGGCAGCTCAGGTACGATACACCGCAGCAATTGTACAGAATGCAAGGAACTGGCTCAAAGGTGCATGTAATGTATTGCCAACATGAGGCTGTATTTTCTGATTGTTCAATCTTGACGCAGAGCCACTCCTAGCATACATATTTGGAAATCGCAAGCATATATATCATGAATTTTCTGGATGAAAATTGCGGGGTACATCATCACAATCAACTAATGTATTCAGTAACGCACAGCGAAACCTCGTGCTGTCAATTGTTTAGCACTAGTCACACAAGGTTTGGGTGAGAACATGTTTGGTATCCTTGCAGCCTTGTCTTGGTCTAAATTTCAGTGATGACTTTCTAAGGACAATTCATTGATTATATTCACAGCAATACAAGGCACACATTCATTGACAATTCCTCTCCTGCCAATAATATGCAAAAATTCTAAAATTGGGTTATGTCCTTATGTATAAATTATATAAGCTCTAAGTAAATGTCTCTGAGTGCGCATCATCCATGAACTGTGGAGTACTTAACACTTCTAGAAGAGATATGAGAGGAAATTTAAAATAACGTACACTTAGCTGTATTCTCCCAAACTGTTGGACCGTGCAATCCCGTCCATCACCCGCTTCCAGTTACTCATGTGGAACGGAACATAGAGGAACAAATCTGGAGCAACTTCTTAGGCTAAGCTAAATGAAGCCTAGACATTGCCTGGGAGACCAAAAAAATCACCTCACAAAATCCATTCTAGCTTTCTTATTTTGTTGACTTTATGAAGACCATAGCTTTTTATTTTTCTATATTTCAGTCCACAATCAAAAATGGGAGAAGGATTGTTTTAAAAACCAAGGACAGTTGAAGGGTTTTCTGCACTTTTTAAAAGCAAGCTACCTGACATTCCTTCTAAGTGCTATTTGCACTGTTCAAGTAGAAGGTGAAAGACTGCAGGTAGGCTGAAACCAGGGGTTGTTTACAAAGATTTGGCCAATATCTGATTGACACCTGGTCATCATTCTATAGATCAGTGACAAAAGCCTTCTGCCTGACAAACATGTGATTGCCTCCCAGCAAGCATAAGTGTGAATGTTTGGCCACAAGCTATCTGACCTCTGGAAAGTGGGGTGCTGTTTTTCCCAGCCCTAAAAAAGTACCTCAAGCCTGAAGAAAGGCATTTTATTTCCCCTCATCAGTTGCTGTAAGCTATGGCTTTTAAACACTTAGTAAGAGTGCTTGAGAGTATGAACCAGTCGCTTTGTGCAACTTGCAAGCAAGCGAAAATGCCTGGAGAAGGAAAATTGAGGAGCAGCAAGTTCTGAAAAGCCAAAAGGATGATCTTAGCAAAATCTGTGGACTGAGATCATTGAATTCTTTCCTGGTCTTTCTCTCCATACCCAACATCCTTTCTTATTGTGTGTATGTTTGTGTAGGATAAGTTTTAAATGGAGTTTTGTGTCAGGTTTTAACCAGTACAGGTATAAGCCAGTAGTTCATAATTGTTTACCTGCAGCTAGAATCTATATCTTATCTATAAGTTTAGGAGGAAATTGAAGCAACTTTACCTGTGCTAAAGTTGACATTTGTGACAGGATTTCCTTATTGAATCAAAACCATGATATTGGACTGTAACTATTGCTTTACAGTCCTAATGAATGCCAGAGAGAGTTGCTCATAGAGTTGAACCCCGTCCTAATCCATACTACTTGTTGGCAGGGGGTGTAGCTGAGCCACCCCCAACCTGGCAACTCCAAAACTGAATTGGGACAGATTAGTCTCAGCAAACTGGTACGCCAACACAATGCAAGACGTTCCACTCCCACCCACCTCATTTCAGCCCCCATTCTGCATCCAGAAATCTTGCCCTAGGTGTCCTATATGCCAACCCTGGCTGAAAGGCATCACTTTTGCTTCTGATGCAAAGTTCATGTGTTCAAGCCCCTTTTTTCGTGTATACACAGTTGAAGTGACCTATTAGCTCTGATAGGAGGTGTGCTTTGGTTAAGCTGGGTTTAATAGTGGAGCAGTGTACGGAAAGCTTTATTTCTGCATCAAGCACTCTCCAGCAACCAAGCACATTTGGAGCTTGGGAGAGATAGTAGGAACTACAGATGCTGGAGAATCCGAGACAACAAGGTGCAGAGCTGGATGAACACAGCAAGCCAAGCAGCATCATAGGAGCAGAAAGGCTGACGTTTCGGGCCTAGACCCTTCATCAGAAATGGGGGAGGGGAAGGGGGTTCTGAAATAAATAGGGAGAGAGGGGGAGGTGGATAGAAGATGGATAGAGGAGAAGATAGGTGGAGAGGAAACAGACAGGTCGAGGAAGCGGGGATGGAGCCAGTAAAGGTGAGTGTAGGTGGGGAGTTAGGGAGGGGATAGGTCAGTCCAGGGAGGACAGACAGGTCAAGGGGGCGGGATGAGGTTAGTAGATAGGAGATGGGGGTGCGGCTTGAGGTGGGAGGGAGGGGATAGGTGGGAGGAAGAACAGGTTAGGGAGGCAGTAGGGGGAGGGGAGATTTTGAAGCTTGTGAAATCCACATTGATACCATTGAGCTGCAGGGTTCCCAAGCGGAATATGAGTTGCTGTTCCGGCAACCTTTGGGTGGCATCGTTGTGGCATTGCAGGAGGCCCAGGATGGACATGTCATCTGAGGAATGGGAGGGGGAGTTGAAATGGTTCACAGCAGGGAGGTGCAGTTGTTTATTGCGAACCGAGCGTAGGTGTTCTGCAAAGCAGTCCCCGAGCCTCTGCTTGGTTTCCCCGATGTAGAGGAGGCCACAACGGGTACAGCGGATGCAGTATACCACATTGGCAGATGTGCAGGTGAACATCTGCTTGATGTAGAAAGTCTTCTTGGGGCCTGGGATGGCGGTGAGGGAGGAGGTATGGGGGCAGCTGTAGCACTTCCTGCGGTTGCAGGGAAAAGTGCCGGGTGTGGTGGGGCTGGAGGGGAGTGTGGAGCGGACAAGGGAGTCACGGAGAGAGTGGTCTCTCCGGAAAGCAGATAAGGGTGGGGAGGGAACGATGTCTTTGGTGGTGGGGTCGGATTGCAGATGGCGGAAGTGTCGGAGGATGATGCGTTGGATCCAGAGGTTGGTGGGGTGGTACATGAGGATAAGGGGGATTCTTTTTTGGTTGTTATTGCGGGGACGGGGTGTGAGGGATGAGTTGCGGGAGATGTGGGAGACACGGTTGAGGGCGTTCTCGACCACTGAGGGGGGGAAGTTGCGGTCCTTGAAAAACGAGGACATCTGAGATGTACGGGAGTGGAATGCCTCATCCTGGGAGCAGATGCAGCGGAGGCGAAGGAATTGGGAATAGGGGATGGCATTTTTGCAGGAAGGTGGGTGGGAGGAGGTGTATTCTAGGTAGCTGTGGGAGTCGGTGGGCTTGAAATGGATATTGGTTTCTAGGTGGTTGCCCAAGATGGAGACAGAAAGGTCCAGGAAGGAGAGAGAGGTATTAGAAATGGTCCAGGTGAACTTAAGGTTGGGGTGGAAGGTGTGGGTGAAGTGGATGAACTGTTCGAGCTCCTCGTGGGAGCACGAGGCGGCGCCGATACAGTCATCAATGTAACAGAGGAAGAGGTGGGGTTTAGGGACAGTGTAGGTACGGAAGAGGGATTGTTCCAATTAACCTACAAAGAGGCAGGCCTAGCTTGGGCCCATGCGGGTACCCATAGCCACCCCCTTTGTCTGTAGGAAGTGGGAGGAGTTGAAAGAGAAGTTGTTGAGGGTGAGGACGAGTTCGTCTAAGCGGATGAGGGTGTCAGTGGAGGGGGACTGGTCGGGCCTGCGGGACAGGAAGAAGCAGAGGGCCTTTAGGCCATCTGTATGGGGAATGCAGGTGTATAGGGACTGGACATCCATGGTAAAAATGAGGTGTTGGGGACCGGGGAATTGGAAGTTCTGGAGGAGGTGGAGGGCGTGGGTGGTGTCACGGACGTAGGTAGGGAGTTCCTGGACCAAGGGGGAGAAAATGGAGTCCAGATAGTTGGAGATAAGTTCGGTGGGGCAGGAGCAGGCGGAGACAATGGGTCGACCAGGGCATTCAGGTTTGTGGATTTTGGGAAGGAGATAGAAGCGGGTGGTGCGGGGTTGGGGAACGATGAAGTTGGAGGCCGTGGGTGGGAGGTCACCTGAGGTGATGAGGTTGTGGATGGTTTGGGAGATGATGGTTTGGTGCTCGGGGGTGGGGTCATGATCAAGGGGGCGGTAGGAGGAGGTGTCAGAGAGTTGGCGTCTGGCCTCAGCGATGTAGAGGTCAATGCGCCATACTACATCCGCGCCTCCCTTGTCCGCGGGTTTTATGGTGAGGTTAGGATTGGAGCGGAGGACTGCACGTTCTGCGGGGGAGAGGTTGGAGTGTGTGAGAGGGGTGGAGAGGTTGAGGCGATTGGTGTCTCGACGGCAGTTGGAGATGAAGAGGTCAAGGGAGGGTAGGAGGCCTTGGGGTGGTGTCCAGAAGGACGGAGTGTGTTGGAGGCGGGAGAAGGGGTCAGTAGCGGGAGGGTTAGGTTCACGGTTGAAGAAGTAAGCGTGGAGGCGGAGGCGGCGGAAAAACTGCTCTATGTCCAAACATGACCAGTATTCGTTGATGGGTGGAGGGGGACAAAAGTAAGCCCTTTACTGAGGACTGACCATTGGGAGAGTTTGATGCTTACATGCATAAAATGAAAACGCTCCATTTGCAGGAAACAAGCTGAAAGCCAGCTTTATGGGGGGTTTGGGAACTAATGAAAAGGAAAGGTTTTGATTTAGAGTGTTATCTTTAAGATTCCAGGGTCAAATAACAAGTTTCCTGGTTGAATACTTTGGTTTTGAACAACAAAGTTTAATTACATATTCTGAATCCCCATTTCTCTTGGTTTCCCTCCATTATGGGTCATCTGGAGTAACTGGGTGGGTAGCCTAAAAAGCTCCTAGACTTCCATCGGTTTTTCCACGAAAACTGGTCTTGGTGCAACTCGGTCTGTCTCCCTGCCTGCTCCCTATCTCTGCCTCTGCCTCTGCCTCTGCCTCTA